ATGGGCTCGGCTGCCGCAGCTGCTGCCATTGGGCTGCGTGGGCTGCAGGGGCTGCGCCGGGATGCAGGCACGCCGGGCCGGGATGCCGGAGGGATGCAGGATGCGGGAGGGATGCAGGATGCTGGCACACTGTATTGGGATGCAGGATGTGGATGCAGGATCAAGCATGCCCAGCTGGGATGCAGGCAGGATGCGATATGCAGGCACACCGTGGCGGGATGCAGGATGCAGGCATGCTGTGCCAGAATGCGGGAGGGATGCAGGATGCAGGCATGCTGTGCCAGGATGCAGGCAGGATCCATGCCAAGACATGAGCACACTGTGTAAGGCCATGCTCCCGCTGAGCCCAGGGCAGCCAGGAGGGAGCCCAGAGAGCTCTCAGTCCCCATCTGGGAAACAGAGCAGCTTGTGATCTGCAGTGTAAAGATGGCATCTCACCGGCCTAAAGAAAGAAGGGATAAATTTAAATCCCAGCCCCAGTTCTGTAGGGAAGTGTCATTGTTTTGTGTGATACTGGAAACTGCTGACAGTGTTGCAGGAGCAGGAGCACAGTTCCCAGGGAGTCATGCTGGATGCCCCTGCCATGGGGACAGGGACAAGGAGGGTCAGGGGTGTCTGGAGGTGAGCCCTCCTTTCCCTTGGAGCTCCCTCACCCCTGTGCACACAGTCAGTCACATGTGAGCTGCAGGAAAAGCCAGGCTGTTTTCCTCCCCTTAGCTTGTCCCTTTCAGAGGGACCCTCAGAGACAGCTTCAGGGTTTTCATAATGTTTCATTTTTCAGGACCATTTTTCCTCACCATTTCCTGAAATCTCAGGCCCCCAGAAGTTTGGAGAAAGCAGCCAAGCTGGGAAGTGAGAGGAATGGGGCTGGGGCGAGATGGTTTTGGGATCGGTGGGTCAGGGTGTGAGCCCCAGGGTCTGAGGCCAGCAGAGCGGCCGTGCCCCCACTGCTTGGTTATTTACAGAACTGTGTGTGAGAAAGTTTGTTGAAAGAATGTTTGCATTCTTTCAAGGCTTAACAAAGTCTTAGAAAATCAGGGCGACAGCCGTGCCCCCACTGCTGCCAATGCCACATGCCCATCTGGCTCGGACCTCCTGCAACAGGAAGTGCCGTCATGCGCGTGCCCCAAAAAACTCATTTCTTCCTCTTTTCCTCTTCCCCTGTGGCAGGGGTGAGGCGGCGAGTGGCTCCGGGGAGCCCAGGCTGGCTCCATGTATCCCGAATCCACCACTGACTCCCCAGCGCGACTCTCGCTGCGGCAGACGGGCTCCCCAGGGATGATTTACAGGTAAGGCTGCAGGGCAGAGCTGGGGGAACTCTGTGGGGCTTCAAACCCAAGCCTGTGGCAACCCAGAACCACCATGCTCCCTGAAACTGCACTGATACTCCTAAACTGCCCTGGCATGCTTTGTGCAAAGGCTTCCAGCACAAAATCCCCACACAGCAGCAGCAGCAGCAGCAGTGTTTTGGGGCACTTTCAGGGTCATGCTAGTGCCTGCTGCAGTGTTCACTGTGCTGTGACATGGGTGGGTGCCGCTGACTCTTCTCACAGCTGCTGACTCTGCCACTCACTCCTGCTCCTCCTTTCTAACGGGGTTTGTGGCATCTTTCTTCTCTCTCCCCTTTGCTGTCGGAAGTGCGAGATACGGGAGCCCCAAGCGCCAGCTCCAGTTCTACAGGTAACCAGGCCCTTCCCCCTCCCCGAAATCCCCCCAGCAGGTGGCTATGGCTCCTGCCCATGCCCAGATAATGCTGGCACAGCACTGCCCTGCACAATGTGCCAGGGTTCCTCTGTGGGATGGGTATCACATGTGTGGCATTGCCTCCTCGCCTGCTCATGGGTTCAAAAGTGCAGTGTGGGGACCCTGGGGTGTGGCTGGGGGGGGGACTGTTCTCACGGGCTGTCCAGGCAGCAGCATGTGGCCACATGGCTGTGGGGGACAGCCACTGTGGGGTGTGGGGTTCAGCTCAGCTTGGGGGGAGCGTCCCATGCCTCTGCTGTGCCTGGAGAAGCCCTTAGCTTTTCCCAAGAGCAGCTCTGGGAAACCAGCCAGCTGGTCAGTGGCTCCTGCTATTAGGAGCAGTCTCATTAAGTGGTTCAGGAGGCAACATTCGCCCCCATCACCCTTTTACTGTCTGAAGTGAGGGCAGCACTTCCCCACACACTCTGCCAGCAGCTGCTCCAGCACTCCCAGGGCCACAGCAGCCCAGTGGTGTGGGACTGGGTCTGGCCTGGCTGCCATGGGGTGGGGGACTGGGGACTGTCCGTTGACAGAACCGTGGCCTCCCCACTCCATCCCACGCATGATGGGAGGAGGTGAGGAGGGCTGGCAATGAGATGGCTCAGTGGCACTGACAGTGTCCATCTCAGTGCTGCCACCAGCACTGCCGAGCCCCAGCGACGGGCAAGTTTTGGCTGCCAAACTGGTCTGAACCACTGGACACATCTGGTGAAAAGGCTCCCAAGGCCAACAGGCAGGACCTTGCCTGTCGGCTGCCTTCAGGCAGCAGCCACCTGTGTTCATCACCCGGTTCCGTTTCGGGGCTCCCTCCTGGTGGAGGCTGCCTTTCAGTCCTGCCACAGCCCAGCTCTGACTCCGCTGCCGCGGGGACTACAGGAGGGCTGTGTCTGCCTCAGGGCACCGTCTCCGCTCCCTGATGGCCCCAATGTCCAGCCGTCCCCACGCCCTGTGTGCTGGTGACGGGGGACCTGTCACCGCAGGGCGAGGGGCGGGCGGTGCCAGCGTTGATAAAGCAGCGGCACATCCCCGGGCTTTTAGTGAGGCGCCATGAATAATTTAACTCCCCTTCGCAAGGAAGAAAATCCCCTAATAGGGCTAATGGAGCGCGGCGAGAAGCCGGACGCTGGGGGCCCGGCGCAGCCGCCAAGTGCTTTGGACGCCAAGCTCCGACACTCCCCTAATGCAAAACAACGCGGCCACCGCGGCTCTTATATCTGCCCTGGGGCAGCCCGGCCGCCCAGAGCTGCGCTGCTGCTGAGCAGCTTCCCCGGCGCGGTGAGTGGGGGCCGGCAGCGCGGGCGGCGAGCGGGGCTGGGCATGGTGGGCGATGAGCAGGGACGGGCACCGCCACGGGGCAGCCGCTGCGGGCAGCAGGGAAGATTTTCCGTGCAGGGTGACTTGGGATTTGATGGCTTAGGGTGGTTTTCTTTTGGAGTTTGGCGTCTTCCTGGCTTTAGGCAGGCTGGTGGCTGTCAGTTTCCCAGCTTGGCCAGGCTGGCCAGATGTCTCTCCGAACAGCTGCCGTGCCTGTCACCCACTTGTTGTGTCCCTGATGCTGCTAACAGTGCTGTTATCCCACAGAGCCTGTGCTCTGTTCCCTATCCCTGCTCCTTCCTCGCAAAACAGCCTCTCCTGCTTGGGCATGGCACAGCTCATCCTTAGCAGATCCTGCAGCCCTGCTGCCACTCATCCCAGGAGCACTGGGATTTCTGCTATCAAAAGGCCATGAATGCACCCACCACCTCCATGCTCTCTTGGCCATCCAGTTCTGTTCTGCCGAAAATCAGGAAAGTGTCAAGATAGGGCAGCTGGTGGATTCCCACCCCATTCCTCAGAGCAGCCCAGATCAAACCCCCAGCTCTGCTTGCTGCAGCAGTTTGGCTGCTGTAGAGCAGCGGTGCAGCCAGCTCAGGTTTCTCCTTGCTGCTCTCAGGTGAGGGGATCCTACCAGGGCAAGGAGATCCCACTGGGAACAAGGAGATTCCACCAGGTGCCCGTACCCAGCAGGAGCCACTGGCATTGCCCTAATTAAAGCTACCAGCCACAGAGAAGGGCTGGTGCCAGAGGTGCTGGGTCCAGCCTCCAGCTTTGAGGTGTGGCAGGAAGAGGCTGATGACCAGGATTCAGTCTGACTTTGCCGCAACAGAGGGAAAGGTTTCCTTTCCATGTCTCCCAGCTTTCCCAAGGCCTTGCTACAGAGCAGGAGGAGCACGGAGTGGCAGCACTTTATGTCAGAGAAGACCCCCAGGATTTTGGTCATACCTGACCAGCTGCTACTCCATATCCTCTGGGCTTCCTTCTCCTTTCCTCTGGAGGTCACACCTCAATGGCAGACAGCCCTTCACTTTTGGCTCCTGCAGCTGTCAATTTGAGCTTCATGGGGAAAGAAAAAACCATCAGTGGGAGCCTGCCTGGAGCCTGATGCCGGTGTAGATGTGTCACAGTGCATCCCCAGTGGCCACTCTGGCACCACTGCCACAGCTTTGGCCCCAGTCCCTGCTCCCTGCAGACACTGAAACAAGGGAAGTTGCGGAGAGAGGCACAGAAATCGAGCGGGTGCCACCACCAGTGAGGTCCCAGGCACAGAGACAGCCAGGGCTGGGGTGCATGAGGAGCCCACCCTGCGGCAGGCTATTTTCGGCAGCCGCACCGGCTGGGAGGTCGCTGCCGCGGTGGTGGGGAAGGTGTTGGCTGGTGGCGCACATTGCGGCAACGTGACGCAGGCACAGTGAGCACCCAGTGCCCACAGACCCTCTGCCGATGTCCACCCTTTCCAGGGAGCCCCACAGGGACCCCTTTCCCATCCTGATTTTCCTTGCCCACTGGCACACAGTGCCAGATTCTCACCAGCAGTACTTGTGTCGCTGCTCACCATACCTCGGCCAGCTACTGGGATCTGCTGCGTCCCTCACAGGGATGCAAACCTGTGCAGCCCAGCACAAGCTGGGACCCAGCATAGCTGGGCACAGGCCACACTGCTGCATCGTGGCTTGGGGCAGCTGTGGCAGGCACCACTGCAGCCTCAGACACGGACTGTGCCGCATCCCTGTCCTGCTGCTTCTCCTGTTGTGCTTCAGCTCTCACACCAAGGCTTTGCTCCGCTGAAGAGACTGGCTTTGCTACATGTCCTGACTCTGGCATGGCAATGCGGGCAGGGCTGAGCCCTGAGTGGCGAGGGAGCCCATGTTGTGCTTTCCCAGCTCTCTCCGTAGCACCACAGAGTGTTTGTCGGCGTGGCTGGCCGGCAGAGCCCACGCTCGGGTGGCAGGATGCTCTCCATGACCTACAGTGAGAGCCTGCGCAGCGTGGCCAGCCGGCCCAGCCCCGAGTGGGGGCTGCCCCCAGCCCCCCGGGCGGCCGACGGGCTGGAGCTGCGGCGGCTGCGGGATGTGCGGGCGGCGGCGCGGGCGAAGACTCTGGAGGAGTTCCTGCGGATGCACGGGCTCTCCCTGGCCGACAGTACCGCCCGCGCCACTGGCATGAAGTACAGGTAAGGCAGCGCCGCGAGGACGGCGAGGGCCGAGGTGAGGGGATGACACAGGGGACGCTGCTTGGTGCTGGTTTGACGCCTCGTCAGGAGAACGGCTCTCACCTAAGCTCACCTCGGCTCCCCTGTGCCGAGGCTGGGAGGAGCCGATGCCCTTGGCGCGGCAAACGCCGGAGAGGCGGCAGCCCATCAGCGCCGTTAGCACTTTCCTACTTGGTGATCTTTGAGCTTCTCGCATGACATTCCTGTTTGCTGTTTGGGCATTTGCAGATGCAAACACCCTCTGAACTTTAAAGATTAGGCACCTGGAGCAAACAGCCGCCGAAGAGCTGTTTCTGCCTCAGAGGTGTAAACCTCTAGCTGATGCAGGTAGATCTCTGCCTGACTGGAGGGGTACATCTTCACCTGACCGGGGTTCTTCTCCACCTGAGGGGTGTAAATCTCCATGTGACGGGCATACATCTCTGCTTGATGGGTTTGCATCTCCACCTTAGTGATGGGTGTGCATCACAGAGCAGATGCATCATTAATTTTGCATGTGGGTCCTGGTGCAAGGTGTATCAGGATTTCAGGCAATGTCCTTGTCAGGAGGACACTCCAGGCAGCTGGAGAGGTGGTCACAGCTCCTGAGAGGGATGGGGCTGCTCTGCCCAGTGCACCTCTCCCCTGGCATTGAGGGTGGGGCAATGGGGTGCAGGGCCCAGCACCCCCAGGTCAGGCTTTGGGGGACACCAGGGCTGAGGACAGTGGCTGTTCTCCAGTGACAATACAGGGGTGCCCCTTGTCCCCCACTGCAGTGAAGCCCTCGGGAGCTGGCAGCTCTGCCGGCTCCTGCCGTGCTGCACTGTGCCGCGCCGCGGGTCAGATTCCCCTCTGCTCACAATGACCGCGGTAACATTTACACAGTGGCAAGAGCCCATCTAATATTCATGGGGACATTATTTATTGATGGGAGCAGCTGGCACAGACACCCCAAAGGTGCTCCTTCTTTGGACATGTCCCTGCTGCCACCAAAATTTGTGGGGTTTCTCATCCTCTGAGGGCTGACAACTGCTGCCAGGTCCCCCCCGCACTGGAGCCGGCGCTGGCACTGGTGCTGGCAGGATTACCAGCTAAGGAGCTTTGTGAGAGAGGGAAGCGGAGGAGATTACAAGATTTTTCATTAGGTTTGGGGCAAATGTGCATAATTTCCTGCAAGCCCCGTTGCTGCATTTTGCTCCATCCTGAGGGGCACGGCAGGTGCTGGCAGCCGTAGTGGGCTGACTCGTGTCCTTGCTTCGGCAGGAGGTGCTAGGCTGGAATTCGTCTCACTTGACTTCGCTTGCTGGGAAAAATAGGGGGAATGTGCTGCTGGGGCTGTGGCCCCGAGGGCGACAACTTCGGCAGGCAGGTGGGCTCTGCCACGGGAGAGCCATCAGCATCGTCGCCACCTGGCTGTCGCCCAGCCCTGGGGTTGGCGATGCACACGCGTTGCTGCCAGAGGGTTTAGTTTCGGACCCGTGCAGGGGAATTTGCCTCTTCACTCCGCCGCCTCAGCTCTCGCTGTGCCCCAAAGCGGAGCTGGGCAGGCAGCCGTACCCGCGGGGGGATGCCCAGCGGGGCTCAAGGGAGTCCTGCCCCGCCACGGCCACTCCGGAGGGTACCGGCAGCGGCTCTGCCCCTCCTGCCCCCACCTGCCCGAGCGTGCCGCTCGCTCGCTTCCTGAGCTCATCAAATATTGAGGGCAGGAGGGCTGACGGGAGCGCTCCTCGCCCGCCGCCTCGCAGCCCCCCGCCGTCACGTTGGCGGCGCGCGGGAGGAGCTCCCCGCCTCGCCCGGGGCGCCGGCTAAATTTAGGCAGCTGGCGCTGCTGCCCGCCGGAGCAGCATGCAGGTCTCCTTTGTGTGCTCCGAGCACAGCATCAAGAGCCGGAGCGCGGAGGACCGGCTGAACCGACAGAATGCCGGCAGCCCCAGCCTCGGCACCCGCGGCAAGTTCCGCGCGGTGGCCATGGTGGCCCGCAGCCTGGGGCAGCTCTCGGTGCAGAACGCCCCTTCCTCCAGCGACTCCAGCGTCAAGCAGCCGGGGATGAAATACCGGTAGGAAACGGGCGCTCCCGGGGCTTTCCCTGTTCCTCACTGCGATCGGGGCGGCGAGGGGGGACTGGGGGCCAGGGGCGCCGCGCTCCCGTTATCTCCGGTTCGCGTCCGGCTCTGTCGGTTTCTCGTCGTTAAAAGTGCTGACCGTGCGCCTCCGTGCGCTTCCTCGCTGTTTGCTCCTGTCCCCTCAGGGCAGCTTTGATCCAGCCGCGCGTAAAATCTTCAGGATGGGGGAGAGAAGGGACCCTAAAATTCAGAGTAGGATTAGTAGCATCCTCAGTGTCTGCCAAGCCGGGCTGGCTGCCGAGCCGAGGGGGTCTGGGAGTCACGGTGGCATTAATTCGGGCTGCCATGGCATCCTTTCGGTGCTGCTGGAGACTCAGTGCCCTGCAAAGTGAGTGCAGAGCCATAAGCAGCTTTGGCTGCCCATGGTGGTTCTGGAAATGGGGTGGTGTGTGCATGTGGGGCCCCCCCGGCCATCACCCACCACAGGGCTCACACGCCCCATGTCCTGGCTCTGGGGCAGAGCACTGAGGGCTTCTCCCATTGAGGCTGAGTGTGCACCTGGGAATGGGGCTGGGGCTTTCCCCAGATGAGCATGGACCCTAGGACAGGGTAGGGCCCCCCCCAGATAAGCCTGCACGCCATGGTCCAGCTGCCAGCAGCTGCGTGCCTCCGCTGCAGCCCAGATGTGCCAGCATTAGGCAACAAAGTGTGTGAGGACAGCAGAGCGCTGAGGTGAGCCTGGCTGTCACCCACCAGTGTCATCCAAATCAGCTGAGTCCCCTTACCTGGACACTGGGGAGGGAGCTGGTCCAGTTCTGTCCAGCTCTCAAACACCAAACCCTTGCGGTGGTAACAACAATATTGGGACGATGCACAGTGGCATCCTCAGGGCTCAGGTGCTCCTGCCCCACAGTCATGTCCTCATCCAGAGGAGGAGTATACCAGCAACACCCTCTCCCAGGCAGTGGGTGATCAGCTTGGGAGTCCCCACTGGTGGCTGCTGGAGGGACAGTGGTGCAGGAGGATGCTCCAAGGAAGTGGATGGGATAAGAAGTGTAGGGGAATGCTTGGCCTTCCCAAGGTCTGCCAGTATCTCTGTTGGGCAGCCTGTCAACACCCCTTTGGGCTGGGAAGCCAAGAGCAGCGATGGTCACCTGCCATGGGGAACCCCAGCAATGCTCTCGGAATGTCCAGGATGAGGCAGGTGCTCTCCTCTCCACACGGCAACCCCGATCATGGGGGCTTGAGCCACCGCTGGCCCACAGCCATGACCTCTCCCCACCACAAAATGCTCCAAAAACACCGCGGGACAGGGGGAGCGCCGGTGCCTCCAGATGCTGGGCGATAGCATGGCAGTGCAGAGGGACGCTGCCCTGACTCAGAGCAGCCCACGGTTGCCCGTGGCTGGGCCGCAGCCGCTCCCTGCCCGGCTGCCGGTGCCCGTGTCGGCAGTGCCGGCGGTGGCGGTGCCTCCGGTTGCTATGCGACACCCGCGCGGGCGAGCTGCCGCGGCTCACCTACACTTTATTTATTTTAACGCTCATTTCTTGAGCCTTTGTCATTTTTAACAAGTAACTGGCTCTCCATCACCACAGCGAAGGCGTCTGCCAGCCTGGCCCCCTTCCCGAAAGCTGTTCTCCAGTTCCTTGTGCCGGTCAAATTTTCTGGGGTGCTCCATTTCTCCAGGATGTTGCTCCACTCCCGAGCACCCTCGCCTGGTGCAAGCCCTGCGCTTCCCTGTGCGATGCAGAGAACAGGCACAACTCGTGCCATGTATGGGATGCTTCAGTCCTGACCACCAGCATGCCAGCTCCTCTTTTTCCACTCTCATTCCCCAGTGCCAGCGGCACACTCAGGGCAGCTGGACACCCCAGCCTCATCAGGGGGAGCTACTTTAACGAGGTCACTGCTCTCCCAATAGCCCTGCCGGGCACAGCATCACTGCGCAGGTGCAGGCAGTGTCACTACGAGCTTCAGGATGCCCAGCCTGGGATGGCTCGTTAATCAGTTGGGATGGGACTCTCATTATGGAACCATCCCAGGTGGGGATGGGGACCAGGGGCCACCACCACACCTCCCAGTCCTTGCGCCCGGTGTGTTGGTGGGCATGCAGGATGCATGAGACAGTGTTTTGGGGCTTTCTGGCACCTTTCCTAATGGTCTCTGTCTTCCAGGAACCTCGGGAAGTCTGGGCTGCGTGTGTCCTGCCTGGGTCTGGGTAAGTGCCAGGGTTTGCCACAGCCCCTCGGCATCCCCTCAGTTCCGCAGCAGCTGCCGGCACTGCCCGGCCAGGGCAGCACTCACTTGCCCTGGTGATGTTTGCAAAGGGAAGGAAAGGGTTTTCCTCAGCCCTGCGGCTGTTTTGAGTCACGGCCCAGAAATTGTCAAATTATTTTCTCTTTTTCTGACACGATAGGAAGCGACTGGGCCGTGCTGGGAGCACCACAGTGCACGCGGCAGGGCCAGCTGTGGCCACCACGTGCCAGGGCTGTGCTGAGGGAGCCAGGGTGGGTGGCCAGGGGCTTGACGTGGCAGCGCTCGTTGCTCACCGCATTCACCATGCGCACACCTCTCTCTCCCCTGCAGGAACATGGGTGACTTTCGGAGGGCAGATCACAGATGAGGTAAGGCTGCACCCCCTTCACCCCATCTCTCCCCTGGTGAGTGGGGAGGGGATGGGGCCAGCACAGCCGTGGCTGTGGCCTGGGTGCATGCAGCATGCAGGAGCTCCAGCGCTCTGCGCACGCGCCCGTGCTCTCGGCCACCCCCTTCACCGACCCCGCTCTCTCCTCGCAGATGGCAGAGCAGCTGATGACTTTAGCTTATGACAACGGCATTAATCTCTTCGACACGGCAGAAGTCTACGCTGCTGGCAAGTAGGTACCCTGCTTTGGCAGTGCCACAGGGGTCTCGCCCTACACCCCCACTCCCACCAAATCACAGTGGCAATGGGAATATCCCAGGTTTGCCAGCTGCAAAACAGCTTCCAGGACGGGGTTCTGGGCGCTTGCTCACGGGGGGAGTCATGGTTCTGGCAGTCCCATGCTTCCCATGGTGGCCTGGTATCATGAGGGTGCAGCTGTGCACCCTCCCAGCACAGCTGTACCCAGGGCACACCGGCCCAGGGCATTGGAATGGGCCCATGCTTTCACTTAAAATTAGCAAGCTCATGCACTGGGGGCAGTTCGGCTCTGGGCGCTGCAGCAAAGGGGCAAACAGTGTCCCCACAGCCACTGCATTTGCCTCTTATTCTCCTGGGGTCTGGGGCCATCCCTGATGGCTGTCACCCCCCCCATGGCTGCACCTGCCAGGTGCCAATGACTGATGTCCCCTTCCCTTTCAGGGCCGAGGTGGTGCTGGGAAATATCATCAAGAAGAAAGGGTGGAGGTAAGCTAGACCACCATCCCTATTTGGCAAAACCATCACTGTAGTCCCAATGGGCTGGGTGGGGAGAGCTGGTATAGCAGCCTTGGCAGGAGTGTGCCATCCAGGGCAGGGTGCACAGGGCTTTGCAGTGATTCTCTCTTTCTCCCCGCAGACGGTCCAGCCTGGTCATCACCACCAAAATCTTCTGGGGAGGAAAGTAGGTAACAACTGCCCCCTAGCAGAGCAGCTGGCGTGGGTCAGGTTCTCACCCCAGGCTCTCAACCACCTTTCCTTTTGCAGGGCCGAGACAGAGAGGGGCCTGTCCCGAAAACACATCATAGAAGGTAGGGGTATGGGTGAGGGCACTCGTCAGGCGCTGCTGGCCCCAGTGCCAGGCTGTGCCTCACCGTCTGCCTCAGTGCTGGCAGCACGGGGCTCAGCACACCTGACTGCCCGTCCATGCTGCAGGTCTGAAGGCGTCTCTGGAGCGGCTGCAGCTAGAGTACGTGGATGTGGTGTTTGCCAACCGGCCTGACCCCAACACGCCGATGGAAGGTGGGTGCGCGCCCCGGTGCCACGCTCCTCCCCGCTGCCTTTCATCGCCGTCGCGGTTGGTTTGCGCCAGGCTTGTGTTTCAAGGGCATTTTCCCTCCCAAGCAGAATCCGCTCCTCTGCCACTACGGTTGGCCCGTGCCACAGTCACACTTCTGCCACCTCCTGCCTGGCTCCAGGACCCTCTCGGGCCACGGCGGGGCGGGTTGGCAGTGTGGTGGCAGGTCACTGCCGCCGTCCCAGCAGCGGTGACTCCACTTTCTCTAAATCTCTCTTTTATCACCAGGGGACCCATTTAGTTCTTCCAAGTCCAGGACTTTCATCGTAGAAGGTACTCCCTGCCCGCACTCTGCCCGCCAGCCGCTGCCTGTCCCAGCGGTGTTTCCTGGGGCAGAGCCCCCACTCCTCTGTGATCCCCCGTCCTTGTTCCCCCCTCTCAAGCAAACCCTGCCATGAGATGCAGAGGCAGCAGCAGCACAACACAGACACCCCCCTCGCCCTTCAGACTGTACTGCAGTTTAAAGGACAAAAAGCAGAGAGGCTCCCGCCCCCCAGGGTCCTGCCATGGGGTGCCCTTGGCACATGCCAGGGTCTGCAGCAGTGTCCCTCCCCACCGGGGCAGCTATGAGCATGCTGGGGTGTGTGCCCCGGTGCCGGCCGGGCGAGCCTCGTGCCCCTTGCCCTCCCCGCTGCTCGCCTTTGGCTGCAGGAGCACGCCTTGGCTTGGTCCCAGCCCGCATGGCTCAGGGCTGGCTCCCCCCAATACGCCTGAGTGGCTCACACACAGAGTTCAGGCTTCCCTCTGTGGGTCTCTGTGTGTGGGCAATGCATCAGTCCCTCCCCCTGCAGCAGTGCCAGTGCTGGTAACCCCACAGGGCATGGGGACACTGGCAGAAGCCTCAGGCTGCTGTCCATGCAGGGAGAGCCTGGCACCGTGTGAGCATGTCAGGTTGGCTGTGGTCCCTGGCACATCCTGAGTGGCTGCTCCCTCTCTCCCCATCCTGCTCTTCTGAAAGCATTCCCTGGACAGCACCGAGCTCCCACCGCAGCACTGGGCAGTGGGATGCTCGCCAGCCATCAGCGCTGTGTGAGCCCCCTTCGGCCAGTGCAGCCCCTGCTAAACCCCACCTGCCACTCTCTCCTTCCCTCCCGGCAGAGACAGTGCGAGCCATGACCCATGTCATCAACCAGGGAATGGCCATGTACTGGGGGACCTCGCGCTGGAGCTCCATGGAGATCATGGTAGGGGCCCAGGGGACGGGGCGGGCGCAGCGGAGCAGCCCCAGCGATGCTGCTGACGTTGATTTAATTAGACAGCAGCTGTTGGGAGCCAAGCGTGTGCAGATGCACTTAAGCCTTAATTATTTTTCGAGGTGGCCGCTCAGGACTTGGCTGGGGGGTTGGGCAGGGGGCTCGGGGGGAGCGGCAGGGCGCTGAGGGTCCTGGCTCTTCTGCAGGAGGCGTACTCGGTGGCCCGGCAGTTCAACCTGATTCCGCCGATCTGCGAGCAGGCCGAGTACCACATGTTCCAGCGGGAAAAGGTGGAGGTGCAGCTCCCTGAGCTCTTCCACAAGATAGGTATGACAGTGGGGATTCCTCCCCAGCTCCCCAAAGCACAGTGCTGCCCAAGCCCAGTGCTGCTGAGGCCGGGTGCCATGGCCCCTGGGGGAGCTGGGGGCAGCAATGTCACCCCCCTGTTCTGCTCTGTCCCCAGGCGTTGGAGCCATGACCTGGTCCCCACTGGCCTGCGGCATCGTCTCGGGGAAGTATGATGGGGGCATCCCCCCCTACTCCCGTGCCTCGCTGAAGGTGAGCTGCACCAGGGCTGGGAGGGCACACGGGGATGGACAGAGCTGGGGGAGCAGGGCCAGGGGCCTTGCAAAGTCCCTACGGGAACAGGAACTCCAGGAGCCACAGCCCAGGAAGTTTGGGGATGCCCTGCCTGTGCAAGGTGCTGGTGCACCCTGATCCCATCACAACATCCCTTCCCACTCCCCAGGGATACCAGTGGCTGAAGGACAAGATCCTGAGTGAAGAGGGCCGGCGGCAGCAGGCAAAGCTGAAGGAGCTGCAGGCCATCGCTGAGCGCCTGGGCTGCACCCTGCCCCAGCTCGCCATCGGTAAGAGGATGGGGGCAGTGGGGGACAGCAGAGGGTGACACCAGGGATATCTTGGCTCAAGATCTGCTCTCCCTCCTATCCCAGCCTGGTGCCTGCGCAACGAGGGTGTCAGCTCCGTCTTACTGGGGGCCTCCAATGCCGACCAGCTGATGGAGAATATTGGAGCAATACAGGTCAGTGCTCCCAGCAGGAGCAACATTTGCCCACAGCACTCATTGCAGTGCTGCACTGTGCGGGAAAAGAGGGTTATAAACCCGGCTCCATGACAGGTTTTTCTTGTCATGAAGGCGAGAAGCAAAGAAAAGGCTTTGCTGGGCTGAGGGGGCAGGGCTGGGCCTGACTCAGGCTCTTCCTAACTGGGTCACCCTGCCGGCAAGCTGGGGCTTGTGGCACGAACGTGGTGGGGTGGAGGCGGTGAGCATCCTCAAGCACACACCAGGGTCACAATCCCAACTCGCAGCGTTGCCCCCATCCCCCGCAGGTCCTTCCAAAGCTGTCGTCTTCCATCGTCCACGAGATCGATAGCATCCTGGGCAACAAACCATACAGCAAGAAGGACTACAGATCCTAAGCGCGCCCGAGCACGCCGCGCAGCCCTCGCCGCCCGTTCGCTTGCTTACGCTTTGTTGGAGCAAAGTGGAGAGTGTGGTTTGCACCGAGAGCCAGCGCTCCACCCGCGCTGCCCCGGACGTGGCGCCGCGGCCGCCCGGCCTGGCTCTGCGGCGCAGGGACGGCCGGAGGGAGGCGAGCCCCGAGCTGCCCGGCCGCCCTGCCCGCCGCCGGGACCCGTTGCATGCGTGGCTCCTGCCTCCACGTTGGCGGTGGGCGCGGGGTGCACGCGGGTGCTGTACGCCCACGAGGCCGACAACACGAAGCTGTTCCCCAGCCTGCGCCCGGGCCTCGCCTCTGCCCTCTCCCACGGCACCGGCACCGCGGGGCTGCGGCTCCCGGAGAGCACCCGCTCCCGGGGAAGGGGTGGGTGGGATGGTGACAGGGAGGGGGTTCGCTGCGGGAAGAGCTGGGATGCTCTGGCCGAGCACGGGGCAGGGCTCTGCTGCGGGGAGGGACCGGGCTGGGGGAGTGTGTGTGGGCAAGTGTGCAAGTGTCTGTGTGCACGGACACACGCGGAGACACAGGGACATACAGACACGCGGGGACGTGTGGATTTGCAGACAGCAGCTGTGGAGGTGAACACAGCCCACCAGCACCTTCAGTTGTATCTGCACAAAGCTACTGAAAGCCTCTACACATGCACCCACGTACACCTGTTACAGGGGTGTCTGCAGACACACACACACACAGTCACACACGGCCAAATGTAGATACAGATGTAGCTCTACCTCCACCTCTATCCCTGACATCAGCCTCTGAGAGATCAACACCTATTTACATATATAGATACCTGTATGTAGATGTATACACACACCTCTGAAAAATACATGTATAATGTATATACACACATGTAGACACACGTGTGTGCTTGTGTATGTACAGATGTACATGGTTCTGTGTATTGATCCATATATGTAATATATAGATGTGTACATATCCATGTAAATATATTGCTACAGCAGCATCCATGTTTGTATGGATATATGCACACATGAAAATTACTGATATGTACTTAAATGTGTGTATATGCAGATAGATGTGTATATACAGATATATGTGTAGACATCTCTATATCCATACCCAGCTTTTAAACTATATACTCATGTCTATACATCTATAAACAGATGCCATATATACACATGGACACAGATATCTGTAATTTAGATACAGCCATAGCTACATATATACAGCTGCATGTCTAGCTATAGCTATATATATATATGGATACATGTATGATAGATACAGAGAGAGAGATGATACATAAAGAAGATGATACCTATAAGGAGAACAATATAGCTACATGTATCTATCTCTTTTTAGCTCTCTGTGTACTCTGTGCAAAACATTTTGCCTATATCTGTATATATGTATCCATATCCACATACATTTACACCCAGTTTCTCTATCTGTGCACACATAAATATAAAAACTGTAAATGTATGTGCAAACCCTCAGCTTTGTACTCTGTGTGTGAGCTCTGCTCACTATGAGAGTTCTGCACTGTGTGAACTCTGTAGTGTGAGCTCTGTGCACTGTGTGTGAGCTCGCTGGAGTTTGTGAGAGCTCTGCACTGAGCTCTGCACACTGAGAACTCTGTGCACTGTGAGAATTCCACACTGTGTGTGTGTGAGCTCGCTGGAGTTTGTGAGAGCTCTGCACTGAGCTCTGCACACTGAGAACTCTGTGCACTGTGAGAATTCCACACTGTGTGTGTGTGAGCTCGCTGGAGTTTGTGAGAGCTCTGCATTGAGCTCTGCACACTGTGAGAACTCCGTGCACTGTGAGAATTCCACACTGTGTGTGTGTGAGCTCTCTGGAATGTATGAGAGCTCTGTGCACTGTGTGTGTGTGAGCTCTCTGGAGTGTATGAGAGCTCTGTGCACTGTGAGAACTCCATGCTGTGTGTGAGCTCTGTGCACTGTGTGTGTGTTTATCTGCTGTGTGGCCATGGCTGCACCTACAGCCCCACTATAAATGTGCATGTGTACAAACATGGGGTGGGGGGGGTCTCCTCTGACCCACTCATGACACCAGAGCTCCCCCCTGTATATGGCTGAGAGTCAGTGTGCACACCTCCCACATCCACACCCTTTAGGTACTTGGATTTACCAGCAGCTAAACCTCTACAGCTTTACCTATACATGTACCTCTGTCTACAGAGCTACATCGATGTTTGTGTGCAAACAGAAACATACACATTCATATATATGTGTGAAATAACAAACACATACTTGTCTGTGACTATACACTCACATATACTATCTCTGCCTAGGACAGGTATACACCTTTACCTGTATCTACACTTATGTAAAAATATATGAAAATTACAGATACATGTGTGTCTGTGAACACACGCACAAAGATCCATACACCTATATAGCCACACAGAGATATGGAGATATAGAGATGTGTAGATATATAGATGCATCTACACATGTATGTGCATGCATGCACATATATTCAAATTAAAACCACACATTTATGTGTATTCTTACATACACATAAATGTATGTGTAAATACACCTCTGTAAATATAGATCTATATGTCCATACCATGTACAGATCTATCCTATGTGCATATATCCATTATCTACCCATACCTCTTGTCTACATACACACTCAGAAGTATGTGTATACACAGACATGTATTAAAACCACAAGTACATTACACAGACCTGTATAATATACAGGTGTGTATGTACAGGTACACACCCACATAGCAGTACCTAAATAAATCAGTATTTATAGCTGTGTATGCTCACATAAAGATATATATGCACACATACAGATCTAAAACTTACAGTTCTGTGTAGATCTACACATGTACACAGATCTACACATGCTGTATATGAAAAGGTACATGTGTGGGGGTGATGTAGACATGTGTACATATATGTGCGCTGTGCAGAGATAACAGTAAGTGTAGATACACGACATTCTCACGTCTGTCTGTGTCCATGTGTGCATGTCCCTGTGTCTCTGTGTGCACATGTGTATGTGTGTGTGTGTGGACACGTGCAGAACAACAGGGGTGCCACCATGGCCAGGCCCCCCCCGAGGCTGCCCACCATCCCTTCCCCAGCCAGACTCCACTGCGTCCTTCCCAAAGGATTTATTAAAACACAGAACAGAAACCGGGACACACAGAGCACGAAGCGGATGCAGGGGCGTTGCTTACGGCTGCCGGTGTCACCACGCTCGAGGCATCCCCATCCCAGTTCCAGCTGTCCCCTCTGTCCCACCCACATCCCCTCCATCTGCCTGCCCCAAGCCCGGCACATGTGGACCCCCAACCACACCACCGCAGTGCCAGGGATTCCAGCAGGGCAGCAACAGGCGTGGGCTTGCTCAAACACCACCAGGACGAAGAGACGGCCCTTAGGGGGAAGGTGGGGAGCACAGCCGGCTGGGACATGGCACCACTGGCCTCCACTCACCCCTACACCTGCCAACACAACCAGACAAACACCGCAAGTCCAGCCCTCCCTCCCTCCCCTCAGCCCACCTTGCCCAGACGAACTCTTCAAGTCTTCAATAAGAAAGTGCAAAAAATGTACACGGACACAAACCCCCAGCCCCGCCGCTCCCACGGGGCCGCAGCAGGCAAAGCACACTTGAAGCGGGAGCGGGACAGCGCGGCAGTGCCGGCAGCAGCTTGTCTTCCACGCAGGCAACGCTGGCACAATTTCCCTGCCGACCTCTGGCAACAGCGGCTCGTGGCCAGGGACAGGGGACTGTCCCCCAGGGCTGCTGTGAGAAGAGCGAAGGGCTGTCCATAAGCCAAATCTGGACCCTCCCCACATGCCAACCCCACCTGGGAGGGTCTGCAGGAAGGATCTGCTCCCACCTCCACTGTGGCTGCTTGAGGCAGAGGCCACAGTCAGATACTGGCACTGGGGAACCCAAAATAGAGCCTCCATTTAGCCCCCCACCCCTTCATGTTCCCCAACAAACAGAGCACGGAGAGCGGGAAGCACAGCCTTACCTCGGCTAGGAGTGGGAGCTGCAGGGGAAAATCATGGGAACTGCTAAATATCTGTGGTGACAGAGGAAACATCTTGCTCACTACTGTCCTTTAGCAGCACTCCTGGACCACCCAAATCCACCCTCTGAATTTCTCTGCCCAAGAGCACAACCCCAACCTACCAGTCACATAGGGTCCCAGAGGCATCTGGCTGTAGTTGACAATCCCACCTGGCCCAGGACCACGGAAATTTGGCCCAAAGCTGTTGTTGAAGATCGGGGCAGAGCCAAAGGAGCCCTGGGGAGGCAAGGAGGGAGAAAAGACATGGGTCTGCAGCCCATGACCCTCACAGTGAGGGCTCTGTGCCTGTCCCCACAGACCTGGGCAGCTGGATCCCCTCCACGGGTGGCCAGGCGGCTGAGGATGCTCCGCTCTGACATCTGCAGCCGGGCAGCCACAGGCGGGATGCGGGACAGCATGGAGGGCAAGCGTGTCACATCAGCCTTCATGTCACTCAGCAGCTCCTCAAGCTGGTTCAGCACTGCAAGTAAAGCAGGAGGTACTTGGGGGGATGCCTGTCACACCCAGCAAGCTGAAAGAACACAAGATGGGGACACCTCCTGGCTTGGCTCCCCAGGTGAGGGTGGGGAACCCTTCCCAGCCTCAGAGCAGGCACATACCCTTGTGCAGGACAGCATTGGCAGGCTTGTTCCCAGCCAGGGACTCTTTGGAGAGGTGCTGGTGGCTCTCAGCAAGGCACTCCACTTCTGCCAGCCGTGCATTCAGTGCCATGGCCGGGTGACTGGGGTCTTGGGTCATGTTGAGGTACGCTGCCCTCCGCAGCTGCTCCTCGATCACCAGGGCCTGCTCCAGCAACTGGGAGGTGTGGGAGAGGAAGGATTCAGGACCAGACCCCCCCCACTATAAACCAGTAAACCACGGAGCTCCTTGCAAAGTCCACTCCCCATTTTGCTCACAGAAGATGCAAATTCCCCCCTGGCTTCAGGGTGCTGCTCTGCTCCTCCCACCAACAAGGACTCACCAGCCCTGGACCTGCCACTCGCCTTAAAACGTCGGGCAAGGAACTTGTTCTTCATCTCGAGGTAGTTCCCCTTGTGTATCTCTGACTTGAAGGGCTCGTTCAGGATCACGTAGCGTGGGTCATTCTGGATGTCCTGCCAGCGGGCATAGCCATGACTGGTGTGGGACAAGTGTCAAGGGCAGAACCAGCCAGCCAACAGCCTGCCCACCACCCCACAGCCACACCGTGGCCCTAAATCCTCTCCCTCTCATCACTGCAGTGCCAGCCCAGCTCCCACACCCCCAGAGAGGCCTCTCTCGCCTCGCTGCCTCCTGCTCTGCCAGGTCAAAGGGTACGTGACAATTCCTGCCAACAGCCAGTAGTCGTGTCGGCGGTGCCAGATGTCGTAGATCTTGCCAGAGGACATGGCAGCCCTCTCCTCATTCTGCCACAGTGTGTGCAGCTCTGTGGAAACAGAAGGGAGACAGCCTGGTGAGGCAGCTGGACTGCAGGTCAATGCACAGCATGGAGGCAGGGCGAGTGATGGAACCTCCCAGGACCAAAGGCACAGTGCAGACCCAGATCTGCTGCTGCCAGCAAAGCACCAGCCCATCCATGGCCCATCACAAGGGTCACATTCCTTGAACAGGTTCAGAGCCTCTGCAGCAGCTTTGCAGAACAGGCCAACACCTCATCTCTCACCCATACCTGTGAAGCCACCATCAGCAATGTTGAACATGAATCTGAAGTTCATGTTTCTGTCATCCTT